CCCGGGAGGTTAAAGCGGAATAGCACAGGGTAGGCAGGGCTTTCAAACAAGCTGACTCAGAAGACAGAGCCAGAGCGACCATAGGCAGCAGTTGCCTTGCAGTGAGAGGTGATGACACCTAAGCCAGCTGGAAAGGAAAAATGACATGAGACATTTTGAAGGAAAACGAGCCAGAACTTGGTAACAATCGCCGAGGAGGAGAGGTTTGATTTCCCTTATCTCTTCTTCAACAGAACAGGGCATACACTTAGGTATCTCATATGTCTTAAGTGGGTGGGGGTAGGGAGGGGAGGATTTAAACTGATTTCTCTATTCTGGAATTGTGGAATTACAAACAAGGAGTTTAGGAATGCAAACATGGAGCGCTTACACTCATTGGAAAAGTCTCTGATTAGACCCCAGTGTATCTGTTCCAAGGGAAGAGGAAACTTTTGGAGGGCTACCGACATTGTTAATTTGTGTTTATCAAGACAAGACCAATGACAAACATGACCTGTACACACACACACACACACACACACAGGTTCGAAAGACAGATAAATTAAAGGCTTCAAATACTACTTCAATAGTTGCTTTTAGTTGATTAAAATCTGATAGAACTATGTTATACCCACAAACTCGTGGGTAAAAACCAGCAGAATAAAAGACTGTGGAGGAATATTAAAATGATAAGGAAACTGAACTCCCTTTGTTTTATGGGAGAAATGGAGACCAGTTTCCTTTTAATCAGGAAAGAACAACTGGTCCTAAAAAGCAGTGTGGTTAATTTGTTTTTCATTTTATTTGTTCGACAGAGATCTCTCATCCACTGGTTCACACTCCAGACACTCGAGAAGGGTGTGGTTTTCCCCTCAATGAGACCCCGCCCTTTTGGGAAGTGTTCAGAAGTTAACAATTGTAGCTGTGTTGTTTCCAGCCGCATCTTCCTCTTCTGTTTGTGTCTTGGAGAAGGAAGCACAACAGCAGAAGACGTGCAGGGTGAGACAGAGCTCTCGCCCTGGAGCCATGACGTAAGCCCACTGGCTGAAGTCAGCCAGCCGGAGTCCGCCAGAGCAGAGTGGGACTGAGATGCTCAGTGAGCAGAGCCAGCCCGCCCTGGTCCCTGCCACCTGTTACTTGATGCATTTGAGGAGAAGCAAACAGGGATCCCGGGCCCCAAATGTTGGAAAAAAGCAATCAACATTAATGATTTTTTAAAGATTTATTTATTTATTTGAACGTCAGAATTACACAGAGAGAAGGAAAGGCAGAGAGACAGAGTGAGAGAGAGAGGTAGAGACAGAGAGGTCTTCCATCTGATGATTCACTTCCCAGTTGGCCACAACAGCCGGAGCTACGTTGATCCGAAGCCAGGAGCCAGGAGCTTCTTCAGGGTCTCCCACATGAGAGCAGGGGCCCAAGGACTTGGGCCATCCTCCACTGCTTTCCCAGGCCATAGCAGAGAGCTGGATCGAAAGTGGAGCAGCTGGGACACGAATCCGCACTCATATGGGATGCTGGCACTGCAGGTGGCAGCTTTACCTGCTACACCACAGCACCAGTCCCACCATTAATGATTTTACAGCCACTGACTGGCCAGTAGAGGTGAAGCAGTGATAGATATACTATGAACCAGAACCTGATGAACCTTTAAGCTTTAACTTGGGTCCTGGAAATGCCTTAGCAAGTTTGTATTCATAATTTTGTATTTTGGTTCCCCAAAATTGTACAAGCTTAAGCTCTACAAACCCTCCAAGAATGAGATAAACTACATAGTCTAGTGCCCTCTAGAAATGCCTCACCAGTGTCAGTGGCCTGCCTTCCTAGCTGTTACAATTCCAAATGACCACTCTGTGGTCCTCTCTTCCAAATTACATCAACAGGATCATCCCAAGTAGAAGAGAAAAAGCTGAAACCTTCACAAGCTAAGTCATGGGCATTCCTTCCATACGAATATTTAGGATTTCTTTCCTCTTGGTTTGTTATTGGATAGCGATAGAGACAGGGAATTCTCATCCACTGGTTCACTCTATAAATACTCACAGCTGCCAAGGCTGGGCAAGGCCATTGCCAAGAGCCAGGAACTCAATCCAGCTCTCCAATGTATGTGGCAGGAACCAAGCACTTGAGCCATCAGGGCTGTCTCCCAGGGTCTGCGTTAACAGGAAGCTGGAGTTTGGGCTGGAGCTCGATATTAAACCCTGGCACTTGGATGTGGGAGACATCTTAACGAGGGCAAATGCCTGCTCTTGTTACTGAATTTTGTTAAATCATTTCTGTGGATAGTATATTTCTGAAGGACAAGTATAACTTAAGAACTACGTACATGGGATGCTGAAATAGAGCTATTTTGCATATTTCTTGCTCCTTCACACATCAGAAGCATGACATAGAGGTAAAAACCATGGGAAAATTCCGATTTCTACTTACATGGAGATTGATCATTATTTGTGAGATATGCCCACTATGGTTTTACTCTAAAACCACAAATAAAGTTTTAACAATGGGCATTTTTCTTGTTGAGAGGTCTGCGGTCAGACCAAACCTCTGACCCTGATTAGATCCTGAGGTTTTCAAATTCAATATTCAGCAAATACAGAACATTCTTCGGCCATAGAAATAATTAAGAACTTCAGAGCTAATGCAATTCTCCTGAGTCTGTTTGTTTTTTCTGATGACAAGGTAATCAAACATAACCTATTCTGGTGTTGCGCTTTACCATATTTGAGACTATGGTACAATAAGTCGCACACAATCTTTTGCAAATCTAGGTGACTTTATTTTGGATTTTTATATACACAAAGCCTTCCTTTGCTAGCACACAAGTTATGGGTATTTTATATGTTATTAAATGTTTTTCTTTTTCCTCACTCCCGATTATTCTGAATCCAGAGAAGTAAACACAAGGTCATCGTGCGAGGCCCAAGAAACACTAAATAATTACACAACAGCTACAACTGCCTTGTAACAGAATGCTGGATGGTGAATTAGCATAGTTTAAAATCTTGGAAGGTAGGAAGTGGGATGGTTTCAGGAGTGTCACGGTTGGTGCAGCAGCCTCGTACTTCATGGAGATCCGACTCAAAGTAACACGGAGTTCTGAGTAATAGGGTTGGCACCACTAAACCATCCTCAAGGGTTGGACTCCTCCACTGGGGAGGTGTAGTTGAAGTCTAACAGCACTTTTCCTGTATAAACATAGTATCACTGTAACCCTAGAGGCTACATCTGCTTCCTCAGAACCAAACTCTCTCCCAGCCATAGGTCTAAAATAAAATCTGCACAAGTCATTGCATTGTTTCTGAAGCATTTTCATTGCCGGGAGGGACCTCCAGGGGTCACCCAGCTCGTCCCAATCTCTAGCCAGGACTCTTCCTAATACCAAATATAGCTGTACAGTGATCTGCATTAAGAAAGCTTTTAAAGATCCCTGGGGCTGGTCAAAAAATAGCTAATATTGGCCTGATTCATAGAGCAGCATTATACGTCTGTCAAAGTAGCCACCTGCATCAAGGAAGACATCCATCAGGCCTGTTAAGTGCTGGCGCTGGCTTCAAAAGGAAAAGCTTTATTTTCTCAGAGAAAGGGGTAGTAGATTAAGGAAATGACCAAGCGTGTTGGTATTTTTTTGTTTAGGTGTACATTTGAATGCTTATCAAAAAGGAAACATTGTTATGTCAAAGAAGGCTGCAGGGGAAGCCCGGAGGTGGCGGCCGGAGCAGACCGAAAACCCTTTAACAAGCCCTTTGCAACTGCAGCCGGCCGCAGAGGGGGGGCTGTTGTTTCAAACAAGAGCCAATTAGCATCAAGTTATTGAAGGGCAGATGGTGAAACATAAGAATAATATTGACAGACGTGCTTTCTAAGTGATATCCTAGCCCTCTAATCAGCTGAGTTTGTCAGAGCCGAGCATTTTATTTCTTGAAGTCCATTAAGTGGTGGGTACAAGGGACAAGAATTTAAGTGTGATTTAGAACTTCTGAAACAACTAACAGCATTGCTAATTTATAGGAAAAGTAATCGTCCCAAAGCGCTGGCCCTCTTAAGCGATTAGATCCGAAGCACCTCGCTGGAACCCAGAACACTGTAGCTAAAGGAGAACTGAGGGTCTTGCTGGGATTATGTGGGCCTGTAAGCCTCTCTGTTTAACTAGACAGAGGATTTAAAGACAGGGCTCCGAAGCAAGGGAGACAACCTGCCCTGACCGTTGTCTTAAACAGCCGCTTGATTTGGTGTATTCATACCGCATTTTTTTTTTTCATGCTTCTGTAGGGTTACACAAAAGTCTGGTCAACCATGAGTGGCTCCAGGCACGAGAACTAGGGAGGGCGCCAGGTGGAAACAAGATGAGAGAAGAGGGTTTTGTTTTTCTCTTTTTATCCTACACCCTCTTGCCAACAACTTTCAGATTCTGTGCTTGTACCTCTTCGCAAGAATTCATTTGAAAATACTTCATTTAAAACAAACCAAAAAATAGACACCCTCTGTGTGCATTCTGCGTGTGTGTATATGAGAGAGAGAGAGAGAGAGAGAATGCACTCTGACGTACAGGAAGTAGAAAGCTCTGGTGCCGGCCTCTCCCAGCCTCCTTTGTAATTCTTGACTTTGGAAATGGGAATTCAGCCCGAGAACTTTTTGACGTGCAGCCGGCAAGCCGCCTTTCCTCCTCCTTTTGTGAGGACAGGAGATAAAAGAACAAGATCTCCCGAAGGGTCTTCCAGTGGGCACCTAACCCAGGAGTCCACGTGCAGTCCACAGGCAGACTCACCATAAAACAGTACGCTCAAGGTGAAGAAAGGCTTTCCTTGGTTATGTGGATATTTGGCAACATAATTTTCTCCCTCACTCGGCTCAGATAACTGTCCCCAGCTCGCTGTGTCTATACACAACCTGTAAAAAAGTGTTATTTTTAAAGTTATCAATGTAAACAAATTCCCACGGCAGACTCAAGATATTACAAATAGAGGAAACTGAAACATCTAAGAGACCCAAGTCGAAGAGTAAAAGGGTAAAGCAGCCAGTAGTTGGATTCTGTAGTTTTTATTACAAAAAAGATTCCGACCCTTTACATGCTGACATTAAATGTCATATAGAAGTTCATTGCAAGCAAACCTTTTAAAAATATACACACTGTATAAATTTACATTCAAGTCTGCGTAACTGATGTCAAGGTGTAGTTCAGATTCTAATCTTCACCCACCCTGTGGCTTGGTCAGCGTATTAACTAAACAGCGATTGTATCTTCACTCAGGCACACGGAGAGGTAGAAACTGCTTTTTAAAGAAAAAAAAAAAAGAAAAGAAAAGAAAACTGAAGTGCAAATGTGATCGTCATTGAAGCAGCAGAGCTACATCAAGGAGATCCTACCTAGCTTTGGTCTTCTCAGGAAGCTGACTAGGCACAGCCTTGCCCTTTAAAGTAAAAGCGGAAAAACTCCGGGCAGGTGCTCCTGTGAATGTGTCAGGGGCTTGGCAGAACCCAGCAATCAACGGCCTGCCACTTGGCACCCAGGAACTGCCTGTGACTAAGGGAGGAAACACAGCAGGCAGCCGGGCCCCGATTCGATTCCCTGATAAGACACAAATAATACACACACTAGTGGCTTAAGAGATACCGAATTTATATCTAAACACACAGCCTGGAACTCAGAAGCCTACTAAGATGCACCTTTTCCCAAGTGAAACCCCTCTGGTTCCTGTCCGTGGCCACCTCCAGCTCAGGTCCAGAGAGAAGTGGGAGTGGCCTGCGACTTCCGTCGGCCGGCCAGTGTTCCTGGACCTGGAGACTGGCCCTCAGGAAGGCTCCTGGGCCCCAGAAGGGCTCCCGGGGTTCTTCCCAGAGACAGGAAGCTGGAGAGGGGCCACCGGGGTGGCTGCGGCCAGGAGCCCCTCCCGCTCCCTTTTCTTCTGTTTCATCCTGCGGTTCTGGAACCAGATTTTCACTTGGGTATCATTCAGCTGCAAGCAGTTGGCTATCTCAATGCGACGGGCTCGAGTCAAGTACTTATTGAAATGAAACTCTTTCTCCAGTTCTGTCAGTTGCTTGGTGCTGAAATTCGTGCGGATGGTGCTGGAGGGGCTTGCGGCTCCATACTCCGCGAGTCTGCCTGCAACGGGAAGACAGGGCGTCAGCGGGGCGAGAGGACGCGGGGCCGGCCCTGGGGTTCGAGTCACAGTCCCAGCGCAGCCCTTCTGGCTTTCTATGAACGCAGCTGTGCCGGGAGAAACGCTCCGGGGAGAGTTGCTCCCCGCATCGGTCTCAGGGCCCCAAACTCTCGTAATAAGGGCCAGCAAGGCGCCTCCTCCCTGAAGCCCAAACTCAACGCCTCCAGGGACAGCGGCGACGCACTGCGGGCGCAGTTCTGCGCAATAGGCGCCGTCCCAGCCCCAGATGCCTGCATCCAAAGCTCAGTACTTACTTTTCTTTGGGGCGTTTCTTTTCACTTTCATCCACTCGAAAGTGCTGAAGGCTGCGGGGAGGCCGGAGGCTGGGGAGACAGACTTGGGGTAGGCGCCAGGGGCCGGGGACGCGGTCTGGAAAGCCCCGGGGTGACCGTCCCCTGGTTCTTTGAGACACGCTGGGAAGGGACCGGGTTCGCCGAAGGCCGCGTAATCCACTTGCCCGCTAAGGAGGAAGGAGTTGCCGCCCGAGAACACGGCCGAGGTGGCGTAGTGGACGTGCGCCCCGCCGTCGTCGGTGGGCCGCCCGAGCGCGGCTGGGAAGTCGTACGCGGGCCCGGATCCCAGGAAGCCGTAGTCCGCGCCCCCCGCCGCCGCAGCAGCAGCAGCAGGTGCGGCGCCCGGCTCGTAGGCACGCTCCAGGGTACACGGCGGGTACCGGGCCGCGGCCGGAGACGGCGCGGGTGGCTGCGCAGGGTCGGTAGGGGGTGAAGGCGCGGGGAGGGAGGTGGCCAGGGGCCGGCAGCTGACGAAGGCGCCGTCGCTGCTGCCCAGAGGGAAAGCGGGCTGCAGGGTCACGGGTCGGGCGTCGGCGCGGCAGAACTTGGGTACGAAGCTGAGCACGTCGCCGCCACCGCCGCGCGACACGTACTCCAGGTAGGAGCTCATGGTTCCGCCCCTATCCCCTCTGGGTCGCAGGCCGGGGCCGAGGTGCGGAACCCGGCAGGACCGTGGCCGTCTGCGCCGCGCCGCCCTTCCACCCTACCCCTGCTGCCCTCGCAGAGCCATGGCGAGCGAGCCGGAGATAAATAGTGGCTTAATATACTGGCGGGGGCGGCCACGTGGCGCCAGCCGGCCAATGGGCGCCTTCCCCGCACTGCCCGGGTCCCCCACTGACGCGCGGCTCCTCCAGTCTGCCCCACCGCCAACTTCGCCAAACCAGCTCTCTCCCGGCGCCCCCCAACCCCGGACGAACCTGTGGGGCCTGGGGCTTGCGGGCGGAAGGGCGGGGCCGGAGCGCAGGACGCCGGCTCCGGGCACAGGTATTGGGCGAGGTGGGCGGAGAAAGGCAGCACCGGCCGCCCGGCGAGTCCCAGTCCGGGGACTGCGTGTTGTTCTGCGCGGACCGTGGGTGATCAGTCCCCCCCGTGCGGATGGGGTTAAACGGGAGCTCGGAGGTCCGCCCGTGGGGACCACCCGTTAGCCTCGGGCCAGGAAAGGTAAAGTTGCTTCTTTTTCCTTTCTGAGACGTGTGCGCTTTCGACTGTCTTGGCACGGGGGTTCTCCCTCTCCTAAAAGTGCAACGGGGGTTTGGTTTTCCCGCGTTTCCCCTCCCCTGTGACTCACGGGCCGACACTTGTGGCTGTCAATGCTGTGCACCAGGGCGGGATGGAAACCCTCGCCGCATTCCCAGCAGCTTCTGCCATCCTCCCAATTTGTCGCAGCGTGGTACGGGCGAGTGTTTTAAGTGCCAGGTGTTGATTTAGACTAGAGAAAGTGGGCCTGGTGGGGAAGTTGGGTGTCTTTCCCCTCGGACCGGCTGGTGGGAATAAAGAACCCATCTCTCTCTGTGCGCGCCTGTGGGGGGCTGCGCATGCTTGAAACCCAGCGCTTGGCTCGAGGGCGCAACGCCTTCCCTGGAACGGCTGGGATCTGAGAGGTTTGGCCAGGCTTGTGCCCCGAAGCAATTAAAGCTTGTGTTCCATCAGATAAGTGCTGCGTCGTCTCCTGCGAGTGAAATCTAAGGGCTCACGATGTTAATGGGCTCACGTCTTTCCCTTGATAATATGGTTTTGTTGACTGAGTGTAGAGAGACGGGAAATAAAAGTGCAGTTGGCACAGGAGATGAGAAGGGTTACAAAGGCGAGCTTTGCATTGACAAACTTTGCAACTTAAAGCGCTGCTTTTCATGTGTCCCTCTTTGGGACTGCAGGAAACTCACAAATTAAATAAAATTTTTTTTTTTACACAAAGGAATAATGAAAAGGAGATGGTTTTGTAAAAGCGCGTGAGGGAGAAGAAACTAATTTAGAGTCTACTCTTAGCTTAGTCAGGTGCACTTGAAAATGATCTGTTACCACCGCTGAGTTCCAGTGGCCAGGGTTTATTATTGTTTGATCCACTGTGTGAAAAAGCAATGGAGCCCCTGCTTGGAATTCTACTCGGAGGAAGCCTGGAACATAGAAGCCTGTGTCAGTCCAGGGAGCCAATTCCTTAGAGCAGTGTGCACTTGTGAGTAAACACAGCCACAAGGAGAGCGTAGACTGCTGCTGAGGCTGAAGGTGAGCCAATTGCAGGCAGCCAGATGTCTTCCCCAGACAGGTTTGGGAGGCCAGCCTTCCCTCCTGGGCCCTCTGGACCTGAGCTGTGACAGAACTAGTAGCATCCGACAGAGTCTGAGAGAACTGGGACATCATGCAGGTAGACACCAGCTACTGAAGTGTGGGCAGGAGTGGTGGGAGTGGCACTGGGAGCCCAGCAGCCTCTCCTCTGCTGACACCTTTGCATCAAAGGCACAGAAAGAGGGCAGAGAAGAAATACATTCCCATTTCAAGGCTGAGCTAATTGGAAGAGCTCCATTATTTCCTGCCTAGGGTGCTAGAGAGGGGCTTTTCCTTTTCTCCCCTTAAACATTATTTAGGGAATTCATCATCCGACTGTAGGACAAAACTGAAGTGGCAAATTCAAGGGTGAAGATCTGTTTTCAGTGCAGAATTTCATTTCCCAGTCAACTGCACAAACTCCAGCAGTCCAGGATCCCCCAGACCCCTGAAACCCAGGGTTTAGGATGGAAACCCTGTCTGATGTGCTGGCAAGTCTGACCAGATGAAGGGCCTTTTCTCTAATGTTTCAGGAGAAACCTTGGCATCCTGGATGGCAACCAGGGCTAGGTTGTTGCTGCTAAGCATTTGGGACTAAGGTTGCTTCCTTCTTGATTAAAACAAAACAAAACAAACAAACAAAAAAAAACCCTTGAGATTGATGTACCCATGAGCTATCCACACTATTTCCCTGTAGCAAAATTTGGCTATTTAGCTTTTGCAAAGGGGACAGTGTTCAGAAGGAGAATGATTTTTTTTTTTTAATACATTGTCTTCCAGAGATGGGTGCCAGTATTGAGGGAGCAGGGTGCTCGGTATTGTTCCTTCCCAGAGGCCGTTCTCTGCTCACCACACACTTCCAGCTGCAGTATGCTTGCCTTTCTCTCTACTGCTTTCATCTGAGTCCTTGACATATCCTACACCTTGGAACTCAGAATTATTGCCATCTCCACTGCTGGACTAGTTTCTTATTTTTATTTTTAATTTATGTACTTGAAAGAGTTAGAGGAAAAAAAGGGGAGAGAGAGAGAGATAAATCTTCTGTCTGCTGTTTTATTCTCCAAATGGCTCCAACAGCCAGGACTGAGCTGATCCAAAGTCAGGAGCCAGGAACCTCCTCCAGGTCTCCCATGTGGGTGCCGGAGCCCAAACACTTGGGCCATCTTCCACTGGCTTCCCAGGTTCATTAGCAAGGAGCTGGATTGGAAGTAGAGCAGCCAGATTGGAACTGACACCCATATGGGATGCCAGAGCCATAGGCAGCAGCTTTGTCTACTATACCACAGTTCTGGCCCCAAGAAACTTAGGCTAGGAAAAAAGATACTGTAGAACCAAAGGAACCGGAGATTCAATTTTTATCAAATTTATTTGAAATGCACAGTGACAGAGGGAGGAAGGGAGGGAGGGAGGGATGGAGGGAGAGGTAGGTGGGTAGGTAGGTTTGTTCATTGATTGGTTCACTCCCTAATGGCCACAACATCAAGGGCTTAGCCAGGCTGAAGCCAGGAGCCTGGAACTCCACCTGGTTTCCCACATAGGTGGCAGGAAGCCAACTGCTTGGTCCATCTTCTGCTGCTTTCCCAGGTGTGTTAGCAGGGAGCTGGGTTGGAAACAGAGCAGCTGAGACTCTAATCCATGCTCCAGTATGGGATGCCGCCTTAGGCAGTGGCTTAACCTGCTGTACCACAATGCCAGCCCCAGAGAATCACTTCTGATCCAAGTCTATCTATCTTATAAATCTACTCAAAAAAGCCTCTAGGGAGAGATTTGAAGATATTATTGGGGAGGAATATGTATGAAAAGGTGTGAATATAGGATATTTTGAATAACTTTAAAGTTTGAATCAAGCGCTCACTGGCAATGGGAGAAATGGCTTCCTAATTTCATTACTTATTCAGGCCACGAATTGCCAAGGGTCATTTGCCCTGCTTGGGCCCTGGTGCTCTGACTTCTCCACAGAGGAGCCTGATTGCCAGACTGTGTTTAAAGCAGGAATGCTTTGAAATCTCAACCATCCCATTCAGCACAACGGCTACAACTGGCCCACATTCTCAACTCTCCATGGCCGCCTTTCTCTCCCACACTAATAACAAGTTTCCCTTCTGCAGACAGAAGTGATGTGGGGTGGGGGGAGGGTGGTTAGCAGACTGCTGTCTGTGTGTTTCAGGCTATCCCAAAACAGCCTTTGGCATCCTCCCTCCGTGAGCCCCACTGTGTTACCCCTTGGAAACACTGGAGCACATTCACACTGTTGGTTCAACAACCCAAGGCACAGAAAGTCTCTTGCTGATTGGGATAAATGGGGAAGGGGGTGTCTCTTCTGTTTAACCAGATAGAAAATCAGGTTATGATGCTATTCTCTGTACACTTGTCAGTCATCTGAGGTGCAATCAGGCAAGGGGTCCTAAGGACAGGAATTCTAAGTCTTTTGGCAGTCTGTCACTGTGACCCTCCTTGGAGAGAACAGTTTAGAGAGTTTTATGCCTTTCCCTAAGAGCTTTGTGGATAAAAAAGCTCACAGGGCAGTGCTTGGCAGATGCTAAGCATTCAATAAATGTTGGACAGAAATAAAGTATGTACAGAATGGTGTCTTTACCATGACTAATACTGGCTAATGGATATCCTAAGATCATTGGCTCCCAAAACTACTTCATGTGGGAAACACCATAGAAGCTTGCTTAAAAGTACAGGTTCTGGGGCTGGCATTATGGCTTAGTGGGTTAAGCCACTGCCTCCAATGTCGGCATTCAAGTCCCAGCTGTGCCACTTCTGATCCAGCTTCCTGCTTAGGTGCCTGTGAAAGCAATGGAGGACAGCGCAAGTGCTTGGGCCGCTGCACCCACATGGAGGCCAGGATGAAGCTCCTGCTTCTGGCTTTGGCCTGGCCCAGCCCCAGCCCCAACCATCTCAGCCATTTGGGAAGTGAACCAATGGTTGGAAGATCTTCCTGTCTCCCCCCACCCCCAATAACTCTCCCTTTCAAATAAAGAAAATAAATTTTTTTAAGTGCAGATTCCTTGGCCAATCCCTGGAGATTAAGAAAAAAATTTTAGGCCGCTGCCGTGGCTCACTAGGCTAATCCTCCGCCTTGCGGTGCCAGCACACCAGGTTCTAGTCCCAGTCAGGGCGCCGGATTCTGTCCCGGTTGCCCCTCTTCCAGGCCAGCTCTCTGCTGTGGCCAGGGAGTGCAGTGGAGGATGGCCCAAGTGCTTGGGCCCTGCACCCCATGGGAGACCAGGAGAAGCACCTGGCTCCTGCCATTGAATCAGCGCGGTGCGCCGGCTGCGGCGGCCATTGGAGGGTGAACCAACGGCAAAGGAAGACCTTTCTCTCTGTCTCTCTCACTATCCACTCTGCCTGTCAAAAAAAATTTTTTTTTAATATATTTTATCCATTTGGAAGAGAGACAGAGATCTGTCATCTGACTATTCACTCTCCAAGTGCCCACAACAGCCATGGTTGGACCAGGCCAAAATTAGAAGCTGGGGTCAATCCATGTCTCCCAAATGGATGGCAGGGGCCCTATCACCTGAGCCATCTTCCCACTGCTCCCAGAGTTTGCACTGACAGAAGGCTGGAATTAGGAGAGGAGCATGTACTTGAACCTAGTTCCTCGGATATGCAGGCATCCCAGGTGGCATTTTAACTGCTGCACCAAGTGCCTGGCCCCACTCCCAGAGACTTTGACCCAGTAAGGCTGACTCGGGAATCTTTACTTGGAACAAACCTCTAGGGTGCTGCTAAAAGAAGATTCTCTGCAGCCATACTTTGACATTTTTTCTTTAGGATTTGGGGGAGGAGAGGAAGCAGTGTGGGGAGAAAGGAGATGGTCTGTGGGAGGGACCATGAACCACACAGGCTGTGGCTAGCTGGCACATGAGTGTGCCTCACAAATATCCAGAACTGTTGGGTGGCAGGGTGAATAAGTCAATGTTAAGGTCAACGTTAAGTCCAGTAGGGCTGAAGTTCTAGAAAATATCCCTAGAAGTGGTCAGTGGGGGTTTCCCAAGTTTTCTGACCACATAGTGCTTTGGAGAGACCAGGCTCACTTCTTCCTTTCCCTCCATCTCTGCCAAATTGTCTGGAACATGCACTTGATCCCCAGGGATCCAGAGAGGGCAAAATACCTGTTGGCCTTGGCTATGATTCTTCCTCTCTTTAAAGGCTGACCTTTCACAGCCTAACACATGAAAGCTAGAAGGCACCTTTGAGATAAGATTTATTAAGCTGGGGCCAGTGTTGTGGTGTAGTGGGTAAAGCCACCACTTGCAATGCCAGCATCTCACATGAATGTGGATTCGAAATCTGGCTGCTCCACTTCCAATCTCCCTCCCTGCTAACGGCCTGGGAAAAGCAGCAGAAGATGCCCCCACCCATTCCTGCAGAGGTTGATAGGTATCAGGGCCCTGGGGGACAGAACAAGAGTTGTCCATAGACTACTATCACTGGATTGAGCAAGTACAAAAAAGGGTGTGTATGAACACACACACACAAACACACCTAGATCAGTTACACTTGTACTAACCATTTAAAATTTGTCCCTTTCATTCCTAAACAGGTAATAAATTTACACTTACATGGTTCATGATTCAAAATGGTATGTGGTAGAAAGTCTTCCTCTCATCCTTGTCCCCAGCCACCTTCTTCACATAGGCAATCTAATGTTGTAGGATATCTTCACAAACTATCTGTTTGGCTATCTCCACGATTTTTTTGTACACAAATGGTACCTGCTAGACAGACTCTTTTGCACCATGCTTCCCCCCTCTCTGTGCCTTGAAGAATGTTCCACATAAATGCATACAGAACTTCCTGGATTAGTTTTACAACTTCATACTGCTCTGCGTGTGCCTCCCACAATTTATTCAGCCAGTCTCTATGGATGGGCATTTAGCTTGTTTTCAAACTTTTGCCACTGTAAACATGTGTTCAAGCTTAGGAAGATTCCTAGAGGTGAAACTTGTGGGGGCTGGCATTGTGGTGCAGCGGGTTAAGCTGCCACCTATGATGTTGGCATCTCATATAGGTACTGGTTGAGTCCTGGCTGCTCTACTTCCAATCCAGCTCCCTGCTAATGTGCCTGGGAAAGCAGCGGAGAATGGCCCAAGCACTTGGGTCCCTGCACCCACATGGGAGACCCAGATGAAGCTCCTGGCTTCAGCCTGGCCCAGCTCTGGCCATTGCAGCCATTTTGAGAGTGAACCAGCAGAAGGGAAATCTCTTTTTTTTCTATCACCCTACCTTTAAAATAAATAATTTTTTAAAAAAGAAACTATTTAGTAAAAAATTGTAGGTATCGGCAGTTTTACTGCATTTTGCCAAACGACTCCCTGTAGAAGTGCATCAGCTTGCCTTTCTATCAACAATTTATGAGAGTTCCTGTTCTTATACCCTTGCCAAGTCAGTGGGATACAATTTTTCATTTTAGTATCTGATAAGGGAACAATAACAGCTGTTAATCCTTTCATAACCGTGTTTTACAAATGATAATAGTGACACAGGAAAGAGGAGCCACTTGCCACAGTGACAGCCTCTGCAATGCCAAGGGCAGATGTCCAGTGTACACCACAGTTGCACACATGGGCTAAGGAGGACCCACACAGAGTAAGTGGATTCAAGGCGCCCAATGAAAAAAGCAGAAGCTTGTCAGCATCTGCTAAGGGACCTCCTCTCGCTGTCCGCCACCTGACAGCGAGGCAGGATTTCTGCACAGTCCGCAGAGTACCTCCTGGGAAGCAGAGGAGCTCTGCTTAGCACTCTGATCTAACGTAATCTGAGGCATTAGCTTGGATTCAGTATCTGGGATACAGGAGGGTGTTGGTGGTGGTGGTGTTAAAGTTTCCTGGAGACTTATTTCTCTCGGGCCACCCAGGATCTAAGTATTGATCAGCATGATGGAGGTGTGGGCATGTTTTCCCTGGGTTTTAGCTTTATATAAGACATCCATGGGGAGCTAGTAAAGATGGTACCCCCCCACACACACACTTTGAATGATAAACCTTCCAGGTAGATATCTTTATTGACTGTTTCACTGATGAAACTGAAGTCCAGAAAGATTAAGTGGATTGCTTAAGGTCACAATGTATCAGTAGCAAAGCAGAAAATACAATGTGGACCCCAAACTGAACTCATTAGATTCCCCTGCAAAGTCTCTTCCCCGTCTTCAATTCACTTTGGTGAATGGCCTGACTACCCACAGAGGCCCTCAAAATAAAAATCTAGGAATTAATATCTGCAGCTCCTCTTTTACCCTTCCAATTGATCACCAGGGCTTGTGAGCTTTACCTCCTAAATGTCTTTTCTCTCTGTCTCTATTACATTAGTTTGTCTCTGTGCTGGATTCCTGTAGCAGCCTCCTTATTTTGTTCTTCTTGCCTCCAATATCTTCCCCAGTTAGACAATCAATACCCCAGAGTTCGCTTTCCAAATAGATGACCTCAGATTCCAGCTTGAAACCTTCAGTGGCTGCTCATTGCCTACAGAATAGGTCCAAACTCCCTTACTTGAACTCCGTACATCCTGTCTTTCCAGCCAGGATGCCACAGGTCTATGCTCTTCTCCTTGTTCCAGGCCCAGACCTTGTCTTTCTTCCCTCCTTGCTTTTGTATGAGTTGTTTCCTGCATAGTAAACCCTTCTTGGTCTCAAAAACCTCTACTTCAGGAACCTAAATTCACATCCTCTGAGAATACCTTTCTGACCACTCCTTATTCCAAGAACAGGTTGGCCACACTTTTCATTCTTTTATTTATTTATTTATTTTATTTGAAAGTCAGAGTTATACAGAGAGGAGAGGCAGAGAGAGAGAGAGAGAGTGGTCTTCCATCCTATGGTTCACACCCCAGATGGCTGCAACAGCCGAAGCTGTGCTGATCCGAAGCCAGGAGCCAGGAGCTTCTTCCGGGTCTCCCACATGGGTGCAGGGGCCCAAGGACCTGGGCTATCTTCTACGGCTTTCCCAGGCCATAGCAAAGAGCTGGATGGGAAGTGGAGCAGCCGGGTCTCAAACCAGCGCCCATATGGGATGCCGGCACTGCAGGCCATGAGTTAACCCGCTGTGCCACAGCGCTGGCCCCAGCCACACTTTTCATTCTAATACCATCACCTTGTTTCACCATTTCTTCCTTCTCCCAAGAGACTGAAAGGCGCCAACCATTAGTGATTCATCTTTGTGTCTTAGAGCCCAGCAGGGTGCACACAGGAGCTGTACAGTAGGTAGTGAAAGGAAATGCAGGGGCCAGGGGCACGAAGCCAAGGACAGCAGCACCAACACTTCCATCACTCAGTGTGTTCTGGACACTGTGTGAGGCGTCATGCTTCTGCCTGTATCTGTCTGAAGCAAGAAGATAGGAGGTTTCTCCACAGCAAGTTCATCTGTACCTGAGAGGATGCAGAGAGAGAGAAGGCTGAGGAGGGGCGGGAACAAAGCTAGGACTTTCACCCTTCAGGGTCTCTTTCCAATGGGTTTGGGGCAACACCTTAACTGACTTCAGAAATGCCCCGCAAAAAGCAGAAAAGAGATGAGGCCAGAACTTGGAATTTACGAGGTCAGTATATACCACTCCAGAGGGAAGCAGAAGAAGCCCTTCATGGGCTGGCTTCTGTAGCAAAGTGGGTGCGTGCTAACACCCCATATGCGCACAGGATGGAGTCCCGGCTGCTCCACTTCTGATCCAGCTCCCTACTTATGTACTTGAGAAGGCAGCGAAAGATGGCCTGAATGTTTGGCCCCTGTACCCACGTTGGGGAACCAAAAGAAGCTCCTGGCTTTGGATGGACCCAACTCTAACCCTAGCTGTTGTGGCCATTTGAAGAGTGAACCAATGGATGGACAATTCTCTCTCTCTCTCTGTCTGTAACTCTGCCTTTCAAATAAATAAATCAATATTTTAAAAAGAAGCAGCCTTCACCAATCATGCCACCCAAGCCTTCCTACTGTGAATGGCTAGAAGGCTAATGACTGTCCCCAGAAAGTTTCAGTCCACCCTTTTTATAAACACAATGCACCTTAGCCATCCTCTACTTTGTCTCAGTATGCAATTGCAGGGCACTGGATCAGAAGCCAGGCAGCCGGAACTTCACCAGGCACTCAGGAATGGGATGCTCCGTTGGCTTAGCCGCTCAGCCACACACCTCCCTCCCCAGCCTCCTCTCCTTGGTGGTGTTTCTAAAAATGAATCCAAAGGAGCTGAGGTAAAAATACTTGAGGTCCTCCCCCGACCCCCCCCCCACTCGCACAAGTACAAAGGAGATGCAAATTGTTGTGGTTGTTTTAGCTATGTTTCTATTGTTATTTTAAATAGCATTCAAGTTTAGTTCCCAAGTTCAACGCCGTTCTTACCCTACATCCTCCCACTCAAATATTCCTCTGCAGGTACGGAGAGACTGAAAGCTGGCCGCAAAAACTCTTCTGAGCCTTTGGGGTTTTTCTTGCCCTGCCTTCAGGTATGGATTTGTCCCAGGGCGGAGGAGAGGGGTGCAGCAACATTTAAGGGAGTCACTTGAGCAAGCAAGGGCTGGGGTGCGGGGGGGGCGGGGGGCATACAAGGTCACTGTCAGTCTGGGGCAGGCGTGGGTGCAGGTGGCTGGGGAAGACCTTAGCGCCCTGGGCTGCCCGAGGGCGGGAACCGCAGTGGAAGGAGGTGACCGCCGACCTTTCCCTTGGGGCTCGCGTCGCCCCGGCTGCGCCGCTCCCCGCGGGCGCGGACTGCGGGTCGTGCCCTCAGGTTCACGCTCAGCTTGAGCGCCTGCGTCTCCAGCGCTTGCGGTTTCTGGTCGGATCCCAGCTGGCCCAGACTTGCTCTGAAGTAGGAGGAACCGCTGTCGAGAGAGGAGAGCACACCCGGTGATTGATGAACTCTTAATAGGACCAACCTCTCCAGCCGCCCACCCTAGACACACACAGAGCAAGCCTCTCCCGGCCCCCTCCCCAGGCCGCCGCGGCCACCAGCCGGGAGGGTGAGGAACTCGCCGTCGGGCTTTCTCAAAGTGTCCCAGGTGGACTCAGGGACACCCAGCCGGCGCCGCCCGCCTCCTGGCAGCTCCTGCGGGCGCGGAGAACGCGGAGGAGCGCGCGCGACGCTTGGCGGCGCGGTCACCAGCGGGCCTTTGTGCGGCGCGCCCGCCAGACCGCCCCGAGAGGCGGCGGCTATTGTTCCCCGCCAGGGAGCTGGGGCCGCAGACTCGGGGTCCACACCAGCCTCCTCCCCAACGTGTCCTCGGGCCCGAGGGCGGAGCGGGACTTCCTTTGTGTGTTGTCTTGCGGGGACGGTGGCAGAGGAGAGTGAGGGACTCACTCCTTAGAGCTCCGCGCACCCGACCCACTTTCCTGCTCAGCGCCAGCAGGGGAGGCAGGGAGGAGCAGCGTGTTTGTGGGGCAGCGCCCTGGACAATAGAGCCGTCTAAAGGCCGCCTGCCCCCCGCCCCACCTTGGGCAAGGTCCTGGTCTGGCTGGCCCTCCTGGCCTGGTTTGGAAGCCTGCTTCCCCGGGTAAGAGCCCTTTTTCTGTGACTGGGTTTTTCATGAATCCCACTCACTTCAGGCTCTCCTGGCCATTCCTACTGTTAATACCCCACTTCTTTTGTGGTTTTACAGATAATCTGCTGTGAAAACCAGTCCAGACTACTATCAGAACTAGTCAAGATATTTTGCCACAGGATCTAGAACAAAAACGTGCACTGGCTTCTGTCTTCGGAGGACTCTGCTGCTGCACGGGACGGGCAGCCGTCTACTCTGGCTCTTCCTCCGTGTGGGGACCTCTTTTGTTCACTGTGCATCTATCTAGGCTGGACCTGGCCTGAAATTGGGCCTTTGGGTCCCTGCTGTACTTTCCAACTTGCCAAGGTAGGTGTGAGACCTGAAGGAAGTGTTTAGGAATGGGCTTTAGGTGGGATATAAAAATCCACTTGTCACCAACCTTAGAACCCAAAGCAAAGGGCATTTGTAGCAGGAGTAGAAAACAACGGAACCGGCCAATTTTGTGGCACAGCGGGTAAAGCCACTGCCTGCAATCATGCCGCTTCTGGTTGGGTCTGGCTGCTCCACTTCTAGACCAGCTCCCTGCTAATGGCCTGGGAAAGCAACAGAAGTAGGCCCAACTGCCTGGAGTCCTGCCACCCATGCAGAAGACCTGGAAGAAGCTCCTGGACCCAGCACTGGCCATTGTGACCCTCTAGGGAGTGAACCAGCGGGTGAAAGATCTTTCTCTGTAACTTTCAAATAAATAATAAATCTTTTATTAAAAGGGGGGGCAGTGAGGACTGTGATTTCATCCTCTGCTGATCCTCTCCAGCACCACTGATGCAGTAAGTGCGGAGGATTCATCTACTCAGGTTTCTCCCTCTCTCTCTCTTTCTCTCTCTCTCTCTCTCTCTCTCCCCTCCCCCCACCCCCCACCCCTTCCAACCAGGCCTTTTGCAAGAGAGACCTATGAAAGCTAGCCCTCTAAAGTGGTAAGAGCTTGGCTGCTGACAACACAGCTCAGCTCTTGGTGGGCCCACTTGCCGGGGCTCTAAAGATACTCTCTCCGGGAAGTGGCCATGCCCTCCAGTGAGCAGGCTTAGAGTTGGTGGGGAAGGGGACCCTCTACCTCTCTTCTTGCTACTCACACACTTCTGTTCTTCCTGGTGTTTTCTTTCAGTTTCTCAAAGGACCAAAGCCATGCTAACAGCTCCCAGAGGAAGAGGATTAACTACTGCTTGACTTCAAAAGGAAGTTTCTGCTAATTCCTCTGATAAAAATCAAAACAGGCCCACGGCTGCCTTGGAATACTGAAGGTGTGAGCAAGCTGACTGCCCCAGGTCAAGCCAGGGAGCAGCCTGGTTAGAATGAAGGGTTCATGCTGTGTTATTCAAACACACACCCACACACATCCTCTGCCCCCTCCCTTGTGAAAAACCTCAACAGATGGAGAGCCTGGGCTCCCAGGCTTGCTGGCCGCCAAGATGCCCTACACCATGGAACCAGCAGGCTGGTGCAGGCCCGGGGGGTGGGGGGTGGGGGGAGGAGGGCCACGCCGCTGGTTTAGGTCATCAGTGGCTTTTAATACTCTTCACAAATAGAAATTCCAAAAATCTTGTTCAGCAAGGGTAGCAGCCACTGACGCTGCCACTGATGCATCTCTGATAGGGACTAGGCTTGGGCCGCACCAAGGGGACAGCGGTCGCTCCAATTCTCTCCCTCTCATTTGAAAGTCTGTACAAAGAAATGGTACAAATGGATGGTTAACTTAATGATTCCATCAGAGGAGGATTTTTCTCTGTCAGGTCCCTGGATGAGGCTGAGGAAGGAAGGCCAGAAGGCAGATTGTGTACTTAATCGCCTCCCCCCACCCCGTTTTTTTTTTTTTTTTTTTTTTTAAACCTCCTTACCGGTGGCCAGGATTTCTCTCCAGGCCCTTCTGCAACCGCTATGCCCCTGGCCGGCTCAGCTGGGTCTGGGCGTTCCTCTGCAGGCTGGATCCTGAGGTCTTCCTGGTCACAAGGGAAGCTCGCTTTCCCCCACCTCTACCTCCCAGTTCTGTGGCTGCCCCACTGCTCCCCTGCCTTCATTCATATTTGAATCCCTGAGCAAAACCAGCAGGGACGCCCAAAGGCCGCCTACCTCTCGTCCACAGGCTGGGGCCCACGGCGGTGTGACCCCTTCCCTCAGAATCCAGGGGGCCCCACCGCTCCCTCTCAGAGGGGTCTCTGGAGGGAAATAGCAGAGCTGGCCATGGCCTTACCTAGAGCCATTTGCTCCCATCGGAGCAAGGAGCAGCCCTGCCCCATCTCCAGGCGTCAGCCCCGCGCCGCACGCACCGTTTGCCAGGCTGCTCTGGGCGGACCCCGGAGCGCTGGACCCTGGAGAGGGGCGTGGGGGAGGGTGGGGGTCTCCCTTCGCCGCTGACCGCCCCCCTCCTGCTGCGGGTCCTCCTCTGCAAGCGAACCAGAGGCCTGGGCCCAGGGCGCCATTGCTGGGGCCGGCTTCCCCTCCCCCACTCGCCTTTCTCTGCCGCTCTGAGACCCGGAGGGAGGAGGCGGGCGCCTCCGCGGATAGAGCAGCTATTGTGACCTTCCGTCGCCTGCCGCGCGGGAACCCAGCCGAGTGTGCACCGCCGGCGGTGGCGGGGGAGGCGGCGGCTGCGTGCGAGCCTCGAGCGCAGGGGGGCGGCGCTGGGAAAGAAAGGCTTGCAACCTCGGGCAGTTGGGCCCTTCGGAGCGCCTTTGCTTGTGTTTAGACTCGGGTGCTTCCCCACACTAATTGCAGGCTCAAGAGAAGCGGGATTTATGGCGAAGGCCAAGGCGGCTTGTTTATAATTTATGAAGTTTTAAATGTCTGTGCCGCGGGCCCCAGCTCTCGGCCGGGCAGGCCACCGCGTGGGAACGCGCCCTCGCGGGTCTCGCCGCCACCCCCACCCAAACCCACCGACGCCGGGAGCCACCGGGTGTGTGCCCAGCGCCTGATTCGTGCCAGCCTCTAGAGCCCATCGGGCCATTCTCGCAAGTCTCAGGAACCTGCAGAGGTGAGGGAGTGCACAGATGTGGTCCAGGTGACCCCCGCCCCGACACACACACACACACACACACACACCCGGGGGCTGCGGCTGCCTGGTGAGGGAGCCCCACAACAAGCCCGCGCTTCCAGGGAGCCCCAGTGTGAGAGGAAGCTGGTGTCAGCCGGGCTAGACACCGTTTAAAGTCTAATCCGTGCAACCCTAAGCCGCAGATGACACTTGGGGTTTTGCAGACACCCGCAGACTCAGCAGATACTCCTGCGGTAACACCGCACTGGAAAACGCCTGGAGCCATGATGCATTATGTATTTTTATTATTATTTATGATAGGAAGAGGAGATGAGGAAAAACCGGGCCGAAATGAAACAGCCTGACAATATTTAGCCAGTTAAGAAAGCTGGTTGTAATCCCTGCAAGACGGCTAGCTCTTCTTAATAGCTTAAAAAATAATTTCTTACAAGACAATTAGAAATCCTGCCCATGGGTGCAGGTTTCTTGGAAAACAATGTCGAGCCTTGAAGGTGGGTAGAATATGCCTTCGATCGAATCATTTATTCTGTTGATACACTTCTACAACATAGAGACTTTAAACCTGCTGGCATGAAGTGAAATTTAGCAAAAGGACACCCCCACACACACACTCCCAATCCAACATGCCATTTTAGAAACAGCACAAAGGAACAAGGGAACTAAATATTATTTTGAGCCATCATTACTTAGCGAAACACAAACATCCAGATAGAAGTGGTGGTTGTTCCACTAGAAAAGTAGAAGTCAAATTATTTCCACACAATAGGAAATTCACCTCGCGTCACCGGGGATGTAGTAGGAGTTGTGTTATTTGTCAAGCCAAATAGAGATGCGTGGGCAGACTTTGCCGAAATACAAAAGAATTGAACCCTATCTGAAGTTGTCTTCCAAATGCCCCCTCCCCTGGAAGTAGGTGTGCAGTGTCCACCCCTAGCTACAGCCACGCTAATATTTACAAAATGTTTATCAACCCTTGAAGACAGTTTTGCCCGTTTTGTACAAAGAAACAGGAATAAAGAAGGTGTTCATTCTTGTTGTGTTCCATTAATGAAACTTTTATTACTTGACATGGTGGAGAATGCGTTTTCTTTAGAAATGAACTTCTGAGCACTACAAAGGAAAAATCCATGACAGCATTTCCTAGAGAAAAAGCTCAGGTGCGCGTCTCCACGGAACATTTCTTCCTCAGCACCTTAGCTTTTTCATGGCTCTAGTCTTCTGTCCACTTCTCTTGTGTTTTTTTTTTTTTCTTTGATTGTCAGTTTTCTCTCAGAGTTTATTTTTTATTACTTAATGCAGAAAAATGAGCTCTGGCCTCCCCAGTGTAAAAGTCGATTGTGTCTACAAAGAGGGCGAAGAAGCTAATAGTGGTGGCTTTGGCAAAGCCTCCTCCAAATCGCCCCCATGCCACCCCCAAAACATGCCTATGTTTGCATTCTCTGGGATCTCCCCGCCCTAGTTTCAGTCGCTGGAATGTAATCAAGTATTCCCAGAATCAGTTTGTACACTAGAGTCCTAATAAATAAAATACTTTTTTCCCCCAAAGGGTCAGTCTATTTCCAAGCCTTCCATCAGGGTTCTGATGTGCTTGCAAGTGTGCATGATTAACACAGATACACTTCCGACCGAGACATTTTTTTATTCTAAATATTTGTTCAAATAGTACCAGACAATTTGAAATCAATAAACTGTGGCGAGTGGCGAGGGCTGCCGCTGAGAAATGACTAACGTGTGTGTCGTGCCACGCCACCGGGCGGCCTGACTCTACCCAGGAAGGACAATTTGCGGTCTTAATCCTTTACATCAAATACAAACACCAGCCACGGTTACAACTGTTCAAAAACTACTCTCTCAACTAGTGCAGACCGAGGGGGACTGAGGGTGACACGTGGCCCCCAGGGCCCGGGAGCTCGTTCCGAAGCTCGGCTGGAGAATCCTACAGATAGATATACACATAAATACATTAAGACGAGGATAAATAATCAGGGAAACGAAATGACTCGCTTCAAATAATAAATACAGGTCGTTGAGTCCGATGCAATCCTTACGGGGCGGGAAGGAGCATATAAATTAAGGTCTCGGAAACGGAGCTAGACGCGGGCCGAGACTCGAGACTCGGGTCGCTCCGCAGGGCGCGCCGCCGACGGGTCTCAGACTTACCTTCGGGGGACATCATTACCAGATCAGAGTCCCTCGGTCCGCGGTACATGGCACTGGCAGGCTTACAGGGGAGGATCCTTGCGGCTGATTTACGGCGAGTCACCCAGAGGAAGACGCGCCCGAGAGGGGTGGCCCGGGCGCCAGCTCCTCTGCCGCTGGAGGCCCGAGACCCGGGAGGCGGCGGCCAGGCCCGGGCGGGGAAAGGGGTGGGTCCCCGGGCTGCCCGGCTGGCCACCAGCCGCCAAAGCAAGAGAGGTAATCGCGCCGCGAGTCCCGGCCCGCAGCGGCCGCTACAGGTGCGTCAGTTTGGGGGCCTCGGGCAGGCGTCCCTGAGACGAATGGTGGGCCGAGAGATCTGTGTAGGTGGGATGAGGGTCGCAGGGTCCGTGGTGGTGGTTGCCCGGAATCTGCGCGGCGCAACTGTAGTCCACGCTGGCCGAAGACGGGTGCGAGAGGTGGCCTAGGTTGAAGACGGGCCCAGACGCCGGTGCCATGGAGTCGACAAAGTTGCCGCCCACGTACACCGGGCTGCCCTGCAGGTTGGCGCTGGCGAAGCCGCCGCCGTTGCTCGCCATGGGGTGGGGCTCGAACTCGGGCGCCGCGTAGCGCTTCTGCTGGGGCAGGCAGCTGCTGAGCGGCGCCGTGTAGGCAGCCAGGCCGTACATGTTGGGCTGCGATTTGGCGAAAGCGGGCGGCGAGGGCGCGTCGTAGGCCAGGCCGGGCACCGGCGGCAGCTGGCCTGAGTAGGCCACGTGGCCCGCGGCGCCGCCGAGCGGCGGGCTGCGCTCGGGGGACTGGCCGGCCGGCGAGTGCAGGATGCCCTTGGCCTTCTGGTCCTTCTTGTACTTCATGCGCCTGTTCTGGAACCAGATCTTGATCTGGCGTTCGGTGAGGTTCAGCAGATTGGCCATCTCCACTCGGCGAGGTCGGCACAGGTAGCGGTTGAAGTGGAACTCCTTTTCCAACTCCACCAGCTGCGCACTGGTGTACGCTGTGCGCACTCGCTTGGAGGCCGGGCCGGGCGGGCTCTTGTCCTCACAGCTCTCTCCTGTGTGGGGAGGGAGAGAGGG